CACATGTCCGTCTTGGTCGTGATAGGCTCGTACAGGATGATCTCTGGAGCTGGAATGGAAATTTGATGAATAGTTTATTGTTAAGTACAGACACATGGTTAACACATTGTAACAATTGGCTGCTGTTTAGGTGCTTAACCTTTACATCTTAACATTCTTAATTGGTGCTTACAAATATATAATGTAATATATGACAGTGTCAGACCACGAAGGATTGAAACAGGAATTTCCTTAAGTACTTTCGTATTTAATAATACATCTTTAGATATACATATACATCATCTTCAGGGTATACATATATATATATACAAAAACATATCTTCATGTATTTGACTTGTATTAATGTATCATGTATTAAATTTCCTTAAGTTATGAACTGTAAGTTCATAACTAAAAGGGTTAGTCAGAAGATCTGTTATCACCAAGTGCTGTCGGGATGATGGGAAAATAGCCTCGACTACCAATATCTTTTGAACAGTCACGGTGGTCGAGTGGTTAAGGAACCAGGTACGCCATGTGCAGGTCCCATGTGGGACCTGCACCAGGTGAGTGGTGTTGCTGGGACCTGCACCAGGTGAGTGGTGTTGCTGGGACCTGCACCAGGTGAGTGGTGTTGCTGGGACCTGCACCAGGTGAGTGGTGTTGCTGGGACCTGCACCAGGTGAGTGGTGTTGCTGGGACCTGCACCAGGTGAGTGGTGTTGCTGGGACCTGTACCAGGTGAGTGGTGTTGCTGGGACCTGTACCAGGTGAGTGGTGTTGCTGGGACCTGTACCAGGTGAGTGGTGTTGCTGGGACCTGCACCAGGTGAGTGGTGTTGCTGGGACCTGTACCAGGTGAGTGGTGTTGCTGGGACCTGTACCAGGTGAGTGGTGTTGCTGGGACCTGTACCAGGTGAGTGGTGTTGCTGGGACCTGTACCAGGTGAGTGGTGTTGCTGGGACCTGTACCAGGTGAGTGGTGTTGCTGGGACCTGTACCAGGTGAGTGGTGTTGCTGGGACCTGCACCAGGTGAGTGGTGTTGCTGGGACCTGTACCAGGTGAGTGGTGTTGCTGGGACCTGTACCAGGTGAGTGGTGTTGCTGGGACCTGTACCTGGTGAGTGGTGTTGCTGGGACCTGTACCAGGTGAGTGGTGTTGCTGGGACCTGTACCAGGTGAGTGGTGTTGCTGGGACCTGTACCAGGTGAGTGGTGTTGCTGGGACCTGCACCAGGTGAGTGGTGTTGCTGGGACCTGTACCAGGTGAGTGGTGTTGCTGGGACCTGTACCAGGTGAGTGGTGTTGCTGGGACCTGTACCAGGTGAGTGGTGTTGCTGGGACCTGTACCAGGTGAGTGGTGTTGCTGGGACCTGTACCAGGTGAGTGGTGTTGCTGGGACCTGTACCAGGTGAGTGGTGTTGCTGGGACCTGTACCAGGTGAGTGGTGTTGCTGGGACCTGTACCAGGTGAGTGGTGTTGCTGGGACCTGTACCAGGTGAGTGGTGTTGCTGGGACCTGTACCAGGTGAGTGGTGTTGCTGGGACCTGTACCAGGTGAGTGGTGTTGCTGGGACCTGTACCAGGTGAGTGGTGTTGCTGGGACCTGTACCAGGTGAGTGGTGTTGCTGGGACCTGTACCAGGTGAGTGGTGTTGCTGGGACCTGTACCAGGTGAGTGGTGTTGCTGGGACCTGTACCAGGTGAGTGGTGTTGCTGGGACCTGTACCAGGTGAGTGGTGTTGCTGGGACCTGTACCAGGTGAGTGGTGTTGCTGGGACCTGTACAAGGTAAGTGGTGTTGCTGGGACCTGCACCAGGTGAGTGGTGTTGCTGGGACCTGTACCAGGTGAGTGGTGTTGCTGGGACCTGTACCAGGTGAGTGGTGTTGCTGGGACCTGTACCAGGTGAGTGGTGTTGCTGGGACCTGTACCAGGTGAGTGGTGTTGCTGGGACCTGTACCAGGTGAGTGGTGTTGCTGGGACCTGCACCAGGTGAGTGGTGTTGCAACACACAGGACCTGCGGGTCCACAACATTTGAGTCAAATACCGATACATCTTAAGATTATCTTGAGATGATTTCGGGGCTTAGCGTCCCCGCGGCCCGGTCCTCGACTAGGCCTCCTTTTTGTTATCCATCCCCAGGAAGCAGCCCGTAGCAGCTGTCTAACTCCCAGGTACCTGTTTAAGTATGCTAGGTAACTGGGGCATCAGGGTGAAAGAAACATTTTGGCTATGTGTCTCCGCCTCCACCGGGGATCGAACCTCAGGACTACGAATCCGAAGCGCTGTCCACTCAGCTGTCAAGCGCGCATGAGTAACCCCTACATGGTATGGGTTATTGCCTCTCTGTCCTCTCTCTCCCTCTCGATATCCTCTCTCTCGCTATCCTCCCCTCCCCCTCGCTATCCCCCCTCCCCCTCGCTATCCCCCTCCCCCCTCGCTATCCCCCCTCCCCTCGCTATCCCCCTCCCCCTGCTATCCCCCTCCCCCTCGCTATCCCCCTCCCCCTCTCTATCCCTCCCTCCCCTCGCTATCCCCCTCCACCTCGCTATCCCCCTCCCTCTCGCTATCCCCCTCCCTCTCGCTATCCCCCTCCCCCTCGCTATCCCCCTCCCCCCTCGCTATCCCCCTCCCCCTCGCTATCCCCCTCCCTCTCGCTATCCCCCTCCCCCTCGCTATCCCCCCTCCCCTCGCTATCCCCCTCCCCCTCGCTATCCCCCTCCCTCTCGCTATCCCCCTCCCCCTCGCTATCCCCCTCCCCCTCGCTATCCCCCTCCCTCTCGCTATCCCCCTCCCTCTCGCTATCCCCCTCCCCCTCGCTATCCCCCCTCCCTCTCGCTATCCCCCTCCCCCTCGCTATGCCCCTCCCCCTCGCTATCCCCCCACCCTCTCGCTATCCCCCCTCCCTCCTCGCTATCCCCCCTCCCTCCTCGCTATCCCCCTCCCCCTGCTATCCCCCTCCCCCTCGCTATCCCCCTCCCCCTCGCTATCCCCTCCCCCTCGCTATCCCCCCTCCACCCCTCGCTATCCCCCCTCCACCCCTCGCTATCCCCCCTCCACCCCTCGTTATCCCCCCTCTCTCTCGCTATCCCTCCCCCTCGCTATCCCCCCCTTTCTCTGGCTCGCTATCCGTGTATCTGTATCCGTATCTACGGTGGCGCGGAGTCACCCCGGGCGGCCCCAGCAGCCGGCCCCAGCAGCCGGCCCCAGCAGCCGGCCCCAGCAGCCGGCCCCAGCAGCCGGCCCCAGCAGCAGGCCCCAGCAGCCGGCCCCAGCAGCAGGCCCCAGCAGCAGGCCCCAGCAGCAGGCCCCAGCAGCAGGCCCCAGCAGCCAGCCCCAGCAGCAGGCCCCAGCAGCCGGCCCCAGCAGCCGGCCCCAGCAGACACTCCGGCTAATCACACAGTCTGCTTGATGGCCTCTTCTCTCATTTGATTATAAGTGTTGTGCAGCTTTGGCACTAACGTGTGTTATTACTGTCTGCTGCCCGGGTCCCTATAAGGTCTGCCGTCGCCTCGCTGATAGGCTGCTCGGCAGGCCGTTAACGAGGCTCGTATTCACGCCTTTAACGGTAGTTAGGAAATGAGCTCCAGACTGATCGATGGGTTTTCAGGTGACACCTTCCCCCCCCCCTTCCCCCTCTTCTTCTCTCTCTTTCTCAATCTGTCTCTCGATCTGTCCTTCTCGGTCTCTCACGATAACCACATTAACAGCCTGGTTGTTCAAGAATTCAACTTTACTCAGTAAAAGTCTAGTGTTCAGGGGACAGATTCACGAAGCACTTACGAACGTGTACATCTTTCCTCAATCTTTGACGGCTTTGGTTACATTTATTAAACAGTTTACAAGCATGAAAACTTGCCAATCAACTGTTGTTATTGTTATAAACAGCCTCCTGGTGCCTCGGAGCTCATTAACTGTTTAATAATTGTAAACAAAGCCGCTAAAGATTGAGAAAAGATGTGCAGGTTCGTAAGTGCTTTCGTAACTGCTTCGTGAATCTGGCCTCTGGAACTTTGCGCCAAAATGTAATGTAAATAATTTTTTTTTTTTTTAATAAACACAATTTACAACACTAATACAATATTTCGTGTTGTAAAATAAACACGAATACAGTGTTTAAAGACACTTATTTTGATACATTAAAACCACAAACTTCGAGTAGTATTGAATATGCTTTGAGTATTTATGGAATTATCTTTTAAGAGTTTTTTCCTATCGCTTCAGCGCCTGAACGGCTTTACAGATTTGCATGAAAATTTTAACCACAACTTTTCTATAACATTTGAGGAAATATCTTTTGAAAGGTCCGACTTTTTCAGAAATCCTCACCGGCCGTTGTATCAAATCTGTCGTTAATAGCAGACTACTTAAGAGCTCACTATAAGGAGCTACATCTTGAGGTTATCTTGAGATGATTTCGGGGCTTTTTAGTGTCCCCGCGGCCCGGTCCTCGACCAGGCCTCCACCACCAGGAAGCAGCCCGTGACAGCTGACTAACTCCCAGGTACCTATTTTACTGCTAGGTAACAGGGGCATAGGGTGAAAGAAACTCTGCCCATTGTTTCTCGCCGGCGCCTGGGATCAAACCCGGGACCACAGGATCACAAGTCCAGCGTGCTGTCCGCTCGGCCGACCGGCTCCCTTGGAAATGCTACATGGAAATTTTGTTCCCAGTAGCTGAGTCTAATACATCAACAACAACAACATCCAAACTACTCTATTAGGAGTAGGAAGAAATTAGAAAGAAACTAATTTGAAACATACTAAGAAACACAATACTTAGATTAGAAAGGAGGATTAGAAATTAGATTAGATAGGCCAGGAGCCATTGTATCAGACAAGCAACACCGAGAAAAGCCGGGTCCGAGACCAAGAGCTCGATCCTGCAGGCACAAATAGGTGAGTACACACACACACACACAGATATTAGAAAGAACTTTTTTAGTGTCAGAGTGGTTGACAAATGGAATGCATTAGGGGGTGATGTGGTGGAGGCTGACTCCATACACAGTTTCAAGTGTAGATATGACAGAGCCCAGTAGGCTCAGGAATCTGTACACCTGTTGATTGACGG